AAGTGTTTTATGTGTTAACATAAAAACCCAAAGTTTAGTAGTAAAGGTAAAAAAGAAACCCCAAGAGGAATGTACCATTTTGTGATCTGATAAATATGGAATTGGAAGTTGTATTTTCAGTGTATTTTAATGTGGATGATTTTCCCCATCAGGAACACGAGAGTAAATTAAAGTTACTTTGAGGTTAAGAGAGCATCTGAAAACATTCTGACAATTAAAAAAAAAATAGAAGGCTTTTTATTCTTTGTCAGTAAAAATTATGTTTATTGAGTACACCAAAATAAACATCCATCCATCAACTTTTACCCGCTTCTTCCATTTTGGGTCACGGGGGTCGCCGGTGCCCATGTCCGGCAATCATTGTGCGAGGGGCGGGGTACACCTGGACGGGTCGCAAGTCCATCACAGGGCCACATAGAGACAAACGAGACAAACAACCATTCACTCTCTCACTCACATGTAGTGAGATAGGGTTAGGTTAGCTCCAGTTAGCTTCACTACAATCAATATTTAATAACGGGTTCTCTCTTTTTCGAGCTACTTGACAGATATGTGACAGAGGTACTGTGTTGGAGATGGTCTAATCAGTGACATGAGACGTTAATTTTCTTTGACCCATCAAAATGAATGTGGTCATTTATTAACAGAATCAAATTTTAACATCAAAACATTGTACACTTGATTATTCCGATCGGCTCTGATTAATAAAACTTGGCACGTTTTACTTAATAAAAACAACAAACATATCCTTAGATCTTAAATTAATATCTGCAGACTTTTAGCTTATCTTTACTGGCGAGATAGAAGAGTTTTAAAGATGGGGAATGAAGGAGTTTAAATGGAGAGAAAAGATGGATGAGGGAAAGTGTGTTGACGAAGAACGGCATCCTCCATCCGAACCCAGCTCAGCCTCGGTACACTGGTAGTGAAGCGACTCGTTACCTTTGCAGAAGATAGGTCAGCTCCGGTACGGAGTTCCATTTCAACGCTACCTTTCAGCGTCTCCTTAGGATGGCTGAGAATCGTCCGAAGTAGTGACGGTACTCCGTTCAACAACACGCTCACCTCACGGGTGGACTCACATGAGCTGTGAGTCCGTCAGAGGTTCCACTCAGATGTGGAAGATTCCATAATCCCAACTAGACTCGGAAGAACTCCCAACTAAGTCCAGCACTTCAGAACTTTCAGAACCTCTGTTCTCCTGGAACTTCTGTTCCCTCCCGAACTTCGGATCAGTTCTGCTCTCAGAACTTCTCTTCTTCCCCCAGAACTTTCTGGAACTAGGAAGTGTTGACTTTTAAAGAGTTCTGCTTCCGGTCCCTTTTGGGAAGTCCTGATTGGTTGAAAGAACCAACACGGGTGTGGTTTTAGTGACGTCAGAGGTTACTACAAGTCAGAAAAACAGCGAAGATGTTTAGGAACAGACAGAGAAATGTTATGGTGAAGTGGGAGGAAGCAGATGCCAGTAGCTTCTTATTTACCGTCTGCTAGGTTTAAAACAATCCACTTCGTTCTAATAACTTCTTTCTGACTTTCGACCGACATCACTACTTCTCATTTCAGACAGAAGATCAAAATGCATAATTACTTTGTAACAGACATCTAACTTGATTTCTACTTTGAATGAGGATTAAAAATCATTAATACTGTTTCACAGTTGATTTAAAATGAGTGGTTCATTTCAACATTTAAAAATGATTTGGACTAAACACACTTTTGATTATCAAGACATTTGTAAAAATAGTAATGATAATATAAAAAAGAGAGTGTTCTTTCAATTTCAGGATACACTTAGAAAGTCTCTGGATGAGCTAATTTGTATTTCTGGATTCAAATCAATGAAATAACAGTTCCTGCCCATGAAGGTCTTCCGAGGCAGGTTTTGACCGGAGGTTTAGTTCACTACACACACCTAGGGACAATTTAGAGTTACCAATCAGCCTAACATGCATGTTTTTAGTCTGTGGGAGGAAAATGGAGTACCCAGAGAAAACCCACGCATGCACGGAGAGAACATGCAAACTCCACCCAGAAAGGCCCCTTGACCGGGATTTGAACCTTGGACCACTGAGAGGCATCAATCAGCTCTACCAGTTGCGCCACCGTGCTGCCCAAAATAAACAAATAAATAAAAACACAGACAAAAATAAATGTGGCTGATTCCCCCCCCCCCCCCCCAAAAAAAAAGACAATACGAGGATTAAATATGTTAAACAAGAATACCAAATAAATAAACCAGACAGAGATTATATTTAGTCAATTTATCTTCCTGTACACCACAAATGTGAACAGGATGACTCATTGTGTTTTATTTTTGAAACTAATATCTGCATAGCTCCAATGTGGGACTTTAAGCCCCGCCTACTCTCCCACACTCATGACCTTCCTTTACATCTAAACACATTCGAAACATTAAAAATTTAAAACACCAGCCACGTAACCACATAAATCAACAACCTGAAAGACCTGAGTCAAGACCTGAAAAACAGATTAGATGTGTGTTTTTAGTATATAGGGTCAATATTCAGGTTGATTACATGGACAGGACATAAAACTGGAACCAGCTGACAGAGAAGGCTGATTTGGTTCCTGTTGAACAGCAAATGCAGTTTAAGATTCCTGCAGTATTAACATGCATGTCTTATCAGAAGAAGTCATATTCTCCAACATAAAATTAACGTAACAGCAAACAAGAACCCTTTAATTTAAAATATTTGACCAGAGCATCCAGAAGAAATAACTGAAACTGGAGAGTTTAAATCAGTGAAGGATTTTATCTTCAGCTGCTTGTTGACAGCTGAAAACATCAGCTAATGGAAAATAACCCAGAGTGACACAGATGGTTGGATATGATGCTTAAAGAAGGCTGTGTGAATCATGGCTGTTTGTAAAACATACATTTTAAAGCTGGGCCCCACTAGGCCTCCAGACCTACAGTTGTTCTCATGTTCATGTCTGTACCCCTCTCATGTGCAACCACCACACTGAAATACAGTTCGAAAGAAGCAGACAGATACGGCACTGAAGCAGTAACATCTCGTGTGTTTTCAGCTCCTCACGAAATAGACAGCTGTGTGAAAAAACTCCAGAGTCTGACACACAGATTTGTATTCCTCTCAGAAACTCGTCTGGAAAATGTCAGCGCTGCAGTGTATACAATAAAACAGCTCTACAGTCTGTCATCTCGCACAGTTTTAAGTCAAACTACTCAAAGTGGAACTTCACTTACCTACAGTCGTATTTAGACTGAGTGTTTGGATGATGCTGAACTGCACCTTCAGAGTGATGCACGTCTGTGAAAGTGGCCCACATAAAGCTGACTGCAGTTCTTTTAGCGCCTGCTTCTGACAGTAATGGGAGTTTTAAGGTGTTTCTCCATAAACCCACTGATTTACCTTCGTGCTCTTCAGACGTGTGCCACAGATGAATATGAGGTGGTGTAACCGTGTGACCTCAGTCGAAGCCCACCTGAGTGAAGTTTACCTGATCTCCCTCTGCATGCGTGGACTTTCTCATAGACACTCCAGTTCCTTCCACAGAACAAACACCTGGATGTTGAGTTGATGGTTTGAAATCAGGAGGGTGTTTGGGTTGTGTCATGTGACCTGTGATGGACAGGGACCTGTCCAGGGTGTCCTCCATCTCCCCTCTCCAGCTCCTAATGAACAAGACTGTATTTCAGTGCTGTGACCAAACTGACTACAACTTAAAAAATAAAAAATAAACACATGATAAGTAAGAAACAACTCATATTTTCAGTTTTGTCCGTGCTGAATGTCTACATGACAAAAACATTTTCTCCCTGAGTGCCACTGAGCAACGGCGATAATAATCAGTCTCATAAACCTGAATATAACTTCCCGAACGTTTCACAAAATGACAGTCAAAGCATCTTTGACAGCAACCATAACCATACTTGTTATCATTTGGAACAGTAGTGCCTAAAAGATAACATTAGAAGTCCTTTTGAAAATGTAGTTTATTGGCTGTAAATCATCTCAAGATGTTTAATGACCCACATAGGCTCCAACCCCAGCTTTGGGAACCATTAAAATATATTGTTCCACAGCAACAGAGAGGAACATGAAAGGCCTAAGTTCATATTTGGAATTATTGTGTGATGCTTGCACAAGTTTATTGCATCATAAAGACATATTTTCGACACATTGATGCATTTAGTCATCATGCATCTCGTTAACATTTCCTTGCCCTCATTAGAAAATATTCTCAGTAGCAGCGCAGTCATAGTGGTGTGAAACAGAATGCTGATGGGAGGCCACTGGACAAGGGAGAGCAGCCATCCAGCTCATTTGCTGGAAACTAATCAAAAATCGGATGCAGTGGCCTGTTAGCCATGCAGTCCTGTAAATGATGGTGGGGTGGTGGTGGTGGTGGTGGTGGGGGGGGGGTGTTGTTGTAGGCTCAGGTTTTTGTCTGGAGCTTTATGAGTGGGAGTCCTGTTTTCCTTCTGCTGAAACGAGTTGCAGCCAAAAGAGCAAAGCAGAGAAGATGTGCTCAGTATGTGAGCAGAAAGAAGAAGAAGAAGAAGATGGCTCTGCAGCAGCTCCGTCTCCTTCTCATTCAGGGAAGTACTATTTCATTCATGCCATTTCCGTTCATTCATCAGCTGGGGCCAGCCTAAACTCACAGTCCTATCTCCCCACCAACATTCTTATCAATGGGAGTGACGTCAGCACTGCCTGCAGCTGGGGGGTAGAGGAAGGGAGGGCTGGTCACGTGGTCCGGGGGTATATACAATAAAGTTGCGCTGACCGTGGTGCTGAAAACATTCACCCAGTTGTACATTTAAATCGCGAGCCGCTGCGGTCCAAACAGCGTCGAACCCAACAAACAACGTGAGAGAGTTGACTTTTATTCCTCATGTTAGCATTAATGTTGCTCAAGGGCTGAGGCAGGAAGCGGGGGGTAGGGTTTGCTTTAAAAAGAGAACAAGAATAGAGGTGTTCATGGTATTAATCTTGGCTTTTCCTGCGTGTTGTGAGATTGACCACTTCCCCTCCCCCACAGTGGGACTTCAGGTAAGTGGAACCAGATCTCGTTCTGTAGAACCTGACCAGATAGGAGGACCTTTAAATAGGAACAATATTTCATTCATATCTACATTTTTTTTAGCTTTAAAGAGTAAAGGAGAGGTGTTTTATTGTAATATGTGATTTATATATTTTAAAAAACTATTTCTTAATTGGTGTGATTATTATTTTGGTTGCAGCAGATTGACTGTTGATTGATCAAACCGTTCACTGCGTTTGTTAATGAATAGAAGCTAAATTTATTTATAAAAACAAGAAATACGAGCATAAAGCTTTCTATTTCTCTGTGATTTTTTTAAACATTAAATACGTGGTGTTTTTTCTACAAAATATAAATCTTTAAAAATGGTTTCTACCTTTGCATTAAAATGAAAACAATGCGTCGAGCCTTTAATTTCAAGGAGCTGATTGGAAGATTTCAGCCCTGCTTTGTGAGAGTAATTATCTGCCAGCAGCCTCTCACATCTCCTCCTGGCTCCTCATCTCATCCCGACCTTTTTGAAATGAACAAAATAAAATGAAGAAAAAAAAAAAAAGTCAACAGAAAGAAAACTTAAACACATTTTCGTTATTTGTTCAACATTTTTTAAGTTAAATCAATAATTTCAACCGTTCAGGCCCGCGTTAGAAGCTTTTGTTTCGTTTTGCTCCTCGCGGATTTAATTTCACAAAACATTCAAACTAATAAAATTTGTGTTGCGTTGTGGGAAAAATAAATAAATAAAAATAAATAAATAAACTGGCTGCATTCCGCCACCGGAACCCACATCAGACAAAAGGACAAAGGCGCGCTTTCCTCACTGACAGCACCTCCCGTCGCTCGTGCCAAAAAAAAAAAAAGGCTCTGTTCTGCAAATGTTTCCCATCCGGCTCGTGCACAGTTTGGACCGAGCTCTCAGGGACTGGAGGCTTAAACGTCTCCGCCGCAGCCAGGAGCTTTACGCATGACCTGGCGGCGCGTGCCATGTTTCCAGCCGCGCCGCTCCAGCAGCTTTGACGCGCGGAGCACCAAAAATCTGCGCATCTGCTCGTTTTCCCTCATTTATTTGAAGGACACTTGCGCCAAAAATGGAAGCTTTGCGCATCTCTGCGTTAGCTCGGAGAAAGAGGTGAGACTTTTACTGTTGGATACTCTCCCTCCTCGTAAATATCTTTAAAAAAAATGTCACATATGATCAGTTTTTATATGTTTTCTTAATCATAATCGATCTGCGCCATGTGGAGATGGCGCGTAATTTCAGAGAAGCGTAATAATAATAATAATAAAAAGAAATAAAACGTCCCGTGTTTCAGTTTAAAGCTCTGATTCCTCCCTGTTCTTTAAAAAAAACACGGAGTGAAAATCGAACAAATCAAGGCTGAGGTGAAGCTTCAGTGTCAAACATCAACCCTGACATCAAAGAACAACTGCAACCATCGGGTTTTCTGTTGGAAACGCGCGCGCTCACCTGGTCTGAGCGACGTCTGATTTATTTTTCACGTGTTTTCAAATTAGAAACTAAACACAATCAATTTAAATTCCTTCTGATGTTTTTTTTTTCATGGCGCAGATTCATAAATGAGGAGCTCTCAAATCTTTGAGTCAGATAATTGTTTTTCTTTTAAACAGAGCTGTGTGGACGTTTTTTATTTTGTTGATGTAAAATAAATAATTCATATTTAAATGATTGTGAACTGACAGAAATAACAGATGACACGTTCCTATGCTCCTTCTCCCCCTCCCTTGTTTTGTTCGCCTCCTTCAGGTGCTTCACCTCCCTCCTGACAGTTCTGCGTGGTCATGACCTGTCATCACGCTCCTTCCACAGCCCACCTCATCCTATTGGTCCTGCTTATTGTCACTCCACAGCTAGCTGCCACCGCCCCTACACGGGGTGAGGAAGGGGCGGGAGGGGTACAGGGGCGCACCCGGACAGACTATAAAGAGGACAGCGTTGGCCCCTTTCTCTCGCCTCTGCACCAGAGACTGCCTGACCATGACAACACATCCCCAGACCGGGGTCGGGGTCCGGACATGGGCCTCCATAACCAGTTAGATAAAGTGAGGGACCCTGGGCAAGTGCTCGCTGTTCTACTGGAGTCCCTGGACCACCCGGGGGGTGGCGAAATCTTTGCGAGCAGAAACAGAGACCAGGAGGAGGATCAGAGGCAGAAGCTGCTCTCTGCTGAAGGCGTGGAGGGTGCCGAGATAAGGAGAGCAGAGCAGACAGAGGGAGATGGGGGGATGGAGGAGGACAAGGAGGGGCACGAAGCTGATAAGGCGATTGAAAAGGCGATTCTAGGCCGTTTGGCAGCTGTTCAGGGGGATGAAATCCAAGAAAGAGAAGAAGAGGAAGATAAAACAACAAGGTCAGAGGAAGATCAAAAGCGGTCTGTAAAGGATGCTGGTCCTGTAAACGAGGAAGGCAGGAAGAATGAAGAAGAAGAGGAACAGGTGGTAGGAAACGATCCAGAACATATCTTAGACAAAGACAGAACGGGTTCCACCTCACAGGAAGACGATCCCTCTTTGGAGCGCAAAATCCGAGGCTACTTCCAAAACATTGACTTGGGTCTCCAAGACAATGAGATCCTGCCTCCTCTGAAGGGCTACAAGGCCTACAACACTCAGCTGGCCCGGGCCGGGAAGAAGCAGCACTGGCAGGACAACATGTCCCGCAGCAGACCTGTCAAAGGAGGTAACTTCATGGACGGCTTCGAAGACGAAGGGGAAGAACTGGAGGAGGAGATTAAGGCCGAAGAGGAGAGCCTTTCATACATGGAGGAGGAGGCGAGGGCGCGTGCGGAGAAGCAGGAGGTCCTCCGTCAGCAGGAGGAGGCAGAGCAAGCCAGGGAGGAGGAGCAGAGGCTGGCGGACATCGCCTCAGACATGCTGCTGCAGTACATGGGCAGGAAGCAGCAGTCGTACATGAAGCCGCGGCAGAAGAGCAGCAACACGGCGGAGGACAAACGATCGGAGGAGATCCTCCCTGACGAGGACGACCTGGACCAGCAGATGATCGACCGACTGATTGAGATCAGCAGCAAGCTGCACCTGCCCGCTGATGACGTGATCGAGATCATCAGTGACGTGGAGGAGAAGAAGAAGAAAAGGAAAGAGCTGCAGCAGCAGCCGATCAGCAGTAATCCGATCACGCCACGCTTCAGACCTCTGGTACCTCCTCCTCTGACTGCCCCACCTATCTACCACTACACAGCCTCCAAAAACCCCAAGAAAGCTCCTTACAAGAGCAACAAATCCAACAAGAAATGGCACAAAGATAAAGTCAAGTCATACAAGCAGGACTACTGGTATAAGCCTCAGAAGCAGCTTGACTACTGGTATAAACCCCAGAAGCAGTTTTTAGCCTTTCCCTCCTACCCATATTACCAGAAGCCATATCGAGCCTACTACCCTGTTTACTTCCCATATCCTAAGCCACAGTATTATGGCAAGCCTCCCCCCTCCAAAGACCAGCCCTTCGGCCCCCAGGAACTTGATTTCCAGGCCCCAAGGCGCAGGCACAAGGGTGGGGGAAAGAACCGTGGACAAGGATGGAGGCAGCAGCCACCTTCTCGCCTGCCTCTCACTCCTTACATCTCTAACTATATCCTTCCTCACCCACGGACCTACCAGCCTCTGCCACCTCCCAAACCAGTAATCACACCCAGGAGGGGCAGGCGACCCCCGTACTACTACCCACAAACCACGCCGGGAGACGACTATGAAGAAGATGGACTGGTGCCTCAGCTGGACAGTGAGGAGGAGCTGGAGAACTTTATCGAGAGGATCTACATGAAGCGCAGAATGTACTGAGACTCTTTTGGACACTGTCAGCTCAGGGGGAGTGGTGTGGGGTGTGGGGAGGGGGGGGGATTTAAAGCAAAAACAAGATGAAAATAAAAACTCAGAGGAGAAATGTTTTGAGCCTGATGGGAATTTTAAAGGTTTGATGAGTTCAAGAGCAGTTAGATTTCTGTTGTTTTTTGATGTAATTGAGTTGATTTTTCTCAGTCGGGGAGAGGATGGAGAGGTTTTAATTCCCTGTAACCACGCTCAGCCTCTCGCTCCGTTTACATTTCTAACAGAACATACCTGCCTCCACGCAGGTCTATCTCTGGTGTATCTGTTCAGAGTTACAGAGGACGCATGAACACATCAACTCTCACTCCAAGCCGTGTTTCATTGTGAGGATTGTGTTTACAGCATCACTCTTCTTCTCTGCTTCCTGTCTGTCATCTCACACAGCCGAACCAATCCTCCATGATACGTATCCGCTCGTGTCGAACGCTGACAGGATTTTTGTTGTAGTCGATGTGTGTTGATGCCTTTCCCGTGCCAGATCAGATCAACTACAAACAGCTGTGATTCTAACGCACATTTTGTTTTCGATTTAAACTCCAGATTCAGATTTTTTGCCTTACAAGCGCCGTTGATCTAGAAGGGAAATTGCTCATTATTTTCATCACAAATGGCCTCGATGTGGAAACCCTGTGGACTCCAAAAGCACAAACCTGAACACAAAACACTTCCAACCTGGTGGGCCAAGGGTTTTCAAGCATTCTGGGATCCAAACCTTATTGTGTCAATACATTTATGGGCAGATCCACCATTATAGGCAAATCATCCTTTTCATTTTCCTGATTAAAAACACATTGACCCCCACCCCACACATAGCCTTTTTCTGGTATCATACTGTCCTTTCAAAAGATAAAATACTTGAAATCACACTATGTGTTCTGCAGCCTTTGAAAACAGATTTCCACAGAAATATTTTACTTCTTCTTTCTTTTTTTTTTTTAATTTCCAGAAGAATTTCATTGAGAAGCTTCAGGCCGGGGAGTCAGGGATTGTGCGTAAAGCCGTTAAATGCACGTCTTTCTACTTGCATCTTAAAAAATGAACAAAAAAAAAAAAAAGAACAAAAAAAAGAGAAAAAATAAAACCGTATGAAGAAATCAAAGTGGTTGTTTTCTCTGATTAAACTGTGAAGATTAAAAAAAATAACAGAAAAATCAAAGGAAGAGGGCCACTGTGTGTCCAGTGAAGCCGTCTGTCTTGTAAAAGGAGCGTGTTGTTGTTGATGTCACCTTTAGCATTGTAACATGTACAGTGTCAAATAAATATGCCTGTGCAATGTGTAAATAACAGCATGATGATTACTAGTTTTGCTATATGATCCAAAATAAAAGCAATTATTTTATTAAAGTTCAGTTTTTTAATGGCTTTTTGGAGAGTGCTATCATTTACAGCAGCAGAAAGCAAAAGACAAACAAGAGGAACACATATTCAGCTCAAAGTTAATTTTTTATCTGTCCTGCTCATATCAACATGCCTTTAGAGGGATTAAATCACAACCTCAAATAATTAACAACCAAAAATTTTTTATAAAACTAGACTGAAAGAGGATGAAAAGAGACTAAGAAAACAGAATTCAGAGGGAAGGAAGAAAACGGTAACTGCAATGATTGATGAGTCACATGATTGGTGGATGAGTCATCCATCTGTACACTTTACTGCAGGACCACACGCACACACACACACACATGCACACAGATTTTCTTTGAGCTGTATAGTAATTTAGCTGCTGGCATTCAAGATAAAGATTGAGTCATGTTCGCTGCAGACTGGAGCTGCCAGTCGGCAGCTGAAATGGTGTTTGGCAGATGGGTTTTACCATATCTTGTTTTTACACCCCCACCCCATCACATAGGAAACATGGCCTCCTGCTCTAATTCAATGAAGTGCTTCTACTGAATCTTGTTTGGAACAGAAACTCCTTGCAGTCAAAGTTAAACACTGACAGACATGAAATGAATCAAATGATTTGTTTTGACAGGTTCCTCTCAGTCCTGATTCTTTAAAAGAGTTCCTGACACCACGTTCTTAATTGATCTGTTTAGTCTATAACTAAGAGGATGTGTTCCTTTGTTGTAGGCTTTGGTTTGATCATTGAGGATTTTAATTTGAACGACTGAGATTAAAATGGACTTCAGACAGCTGATGTTTGGGATGAAGAAAATGATGCAAACGTCAACAGGAGTGCAAAAGAAGCTCTGTGACTCTCCCTGAAGCTGTTCTTCAGCTCAAAAACTCGGCTTTTAATGTATAATTAACAGAAAAATACATCATGTTCTTCATAATGTGGATCTTCTTGTCTCTTAGGAGGATGGTTAGTTCAAATCTTTTGAAAATGTTATGAAGAAGTAATATCTTAAGGCTTGTAGATAGATCTTTGAGCAGCAACGGTTTAAAGAATCAGAGCTTAATTCTAACTGGACCGAGGAGTTAACAGTTGCTCTGAGGGGCCTAGACCGAAGTGGATTTCTGCCATCCCAAAACAACTCCAGTCTCCAAAGATTCATAGTGCAGGAGTCTGCAGCTTCAGCAGTATTGTGAACTCTGTGCTGGTTGGTTGTAGTAAAGAGGGAGCTGATCTGGAGGAAGAAGCTCTCTGTTTACCGGTCCGGCTATACATTCCTAACCTCATCTGCGGTCATTAACTCTGGATTCTGGAGGCTTCCCTATGGAGGTGTTCTGGACATGTCCATCTAGGAGGAGACCCATGGGAAAACACAGAACACAATGGAGAGACTGTCTTTCAGCTGGTCTGGGAACATCTTGGAGTCCTCCCAGAAAAGCTGGTGGCTGTGGTAAGAGATGTCATTCTGGGCCTCCCTGATCAAACTGCTGCCCCTGAGAACTGACTCCAGAGCCAGAGGATGGATGGATGGATGGATGGATGGATGGATGGATGGATGGATGGATGGATGGATGGATGGATGGATGGGTGGATGGATAATGAATGGATGAAGGATGATGGATAATGGATGATGAATGGCTGGATGGATAATTAATGGATAATGGATGGATGAATAGTTGGATGGATAATGGA